GTGTTGCAAGTACCGTAAAACACTTACTAAAACTAAAAAGTTGTTATTTGTCGATATCAGTAGTTATTTTTAGTTATCAGTTGTTATTTGTTGTTATCTCGACAAAGATAAATACCGGATTTTGTAAAGGTGTTCATATCCTTAATTTTTTTACTGAGCTCTTTTACACGTTTAAAAAAAACCACAACTGATTTTGTGCTATCGTTTTATTACCGTCAATTCGGTTTGTGCTTTCCATGCTTTTGTTGTTGTTGTTGTTAATGATGTTGGTGGGTGGTTGGCGGGTGTTCTGGTGTTGTTTGCTCCTTCTTTCTTATCCAACATCTTTCATCCACATCTCCCCTTCTCCCTTTTTTTTATTTGTTACCCTCTTATAACACTTCTAATTCTAATCTTCGCACTTATGACCTATTTTGTTGCAAGTGCCGTAAAACTCTTTCTAAAACTAAACTAATGCTGTTGTTGCTATACTTGTTGTTGTTTTCGTCCTCCTCTCCTTTCTTCTTCTTTTTCTTCTTCTCCTTCTCCTTCTCCTTCTCACCCTCTTATTTAACACAGTGATCAACTAATTATGATTACGGTTTCTTACTTCATATAGTATGAGCATGCTGCCTACAGCTTTATGTATAGTATAGTGCTTTATGTAAGTTTGCCAAAATACGAGTGGCGGAATTTCATTTTAAACCCCCGTCTTCAAAAGGAAAATGAGAGGGGGTTCTCTCCACAACGAACGTTCACTAAAAGATTCGATCCCGTTTCATCAGCGCAGCACTGGGGACCTTTCGGGTATCTGTGGTGTAGCAGTTATGCACTTTGCCGGCGCACGCTGCAGGCCCTTGTACGGTTCCCGGGTGTGGTGTATTTTATTTATCGAGTGTCTCACCGTCTTTCTGCTGGGATGTTGGCTCGGGTCGGGTTAGCCCTGACAGACAAAGTCGGAAGCCAGCCTCCTAAAAGATCAAAATTGTGTTGATGGCGGTGTTTAATCACCTACATTCATTGTTTATTGCTTTGTTTTTTAATGGGACCTTACATTTAATACCTATTGGACACTACAAACGTTGAAGTCTTAGTTTGTCTTTCGCACACATAATGATAAGACCTACTAACATTAAATCCACATTTTGGTATTATACACTCTCAAGACCTGAAATGTGGTTTACACTTTAGTTCCTCGTTTGGATGTTACACCCAGAGTCCTGACATTATGTTCTGTAAAATTCCCATGTCCCGACAAAAAGGTTGTCATGTGTCATTACATTTTTCAAGTCTACATAGTCGTTGATAAAAGGAAGGATATTTCATTCTCTGAAAAGTTCAATGGGCTTGATGTTGTTGTCTTTTTCTTTGACCGACAAGCCCTTAAAGAGTTCATTGGTCTACTTTGAAAGAAGCCTTACAGATTTAAATCGTTTCTATGGGGGCGTTATAAACACTCTACATAGAAATATCTTGACGTTCAACTCAGGCCAGATCAAAATAACCTAGTCCTGGCCCTCCTGAAGAAACGGCATAAAAACTGATATTGAAACCATGATCAGATCTAAAAATGTAACAAGAGAAACCAAGACAAAACAACAACGAAACGTGGTACATTAGTTTGTGTTTATTTATGAAGCTAGTCTAACTTTGACATGGATTTCAACAAGCAGTGTTCACCTCAGTTTAGTTATCTCCAAACCCTCTCTCTCTCTCTCTCACTCTCTCACTCTCTCACTCTCTCTCTCTCTCTCGCACACATATATTTAAGCACACACACACGCGCACACACACACACACACACACGCGCGCTCGCGCGCGCGCACACACGCACATACACACAGTAACACGATCATGAGTGTCAACAGGCACAAGTAGAGTTGTGACAATGAGACCGCCTCGGTTCGATTCGTATCCGAGTTTCCTGTCACGTGATGGCAACAAGTTGGGTTTTTTGTTTGTCTTTAGTTTGTTTTTGTTTTAAAGGAAGGAGGTTGGGAGGG